ATTGGCTGATCTCGGTGTAAACGTGACAGTCTCTGAATATTCTGCCTGTAGCTGTCTTTATACAGCACTTCTCTAATACCTTTCTCAAAGCTGTGACCATTAACTTCATGGAGCTGAATAATCTTTGCTGCTCCTCTTTTCTGTAGACGTAAAAGGTTGTCATACTGGTCAAAGAACAAGGGTATGCCAAGCACAGGGACTCCATAGTAAATGGCTTCCTGGACTCCATTTGTTCCTCCATGAGCTACGAAGACTTTTATTTGTGGGTGGCCAAGTAGATCTTTCTGTGGCATCCAGTCCATCATTAGAGTGTTGTTGCCCAGAGTAGAGGGACGCTTCCCTCTGTGCTTCCAAATCACCTGATTCAAAATGAGGAACAAATGAATGTAAGATATATGCATAATTTCAGAATCAGAAAGAATGGCAATATCTTTGATCCATAATGAAGCAGGTGCTTCTCTATCGCGGTTCCCCATAGTTCACTGAGTTTGCTATAAATTGTTCAGAATTACTCCCTGTCCTCAAGTGTATCAGTGAATATTTGAACTATGTGCTCAGATGGATTTCATTTTCAAGAAATCTGTTTTTAGAACGACATGAAATTCAAACCAGACATTGGTAGCAATCCAGCAATTTTAAACTCACAAAGAAATCAAAACAATTCACCCCATAAATTATGTGACGTAATGTGGAAGAAGCACAGGGAAAAACAATTGTGTTTGCCCACTAGACTTAATTAATGCTTGCCTAAAAAGGCTTTTATTTGTTCATGACTGCGTCAGACTGCATCCTCTATGAAGACATGAATTACATGTATGGGAAAGGTGTGATTCAGTCCCAGCTTCTACATGCACTGCCTTCAAATATTATAACTTGTGGGTAGATTTTATATTGACTGTGATCTTCAGTTCTTTTGGTAAATTCAGTCAGGGTGATTGACTAAGCTGTGAAAGCCTTTCAATTTTCATTAGTTTGCTTTGGCTGCAGTTAGTCCAAAACACTGCTGTTCATCTTTTAACAGGTGCCAGAAGGTATGACCATCATCCCGGTTTTAGCAGATTTATTGTTATATGAATATTGTGATATTCTGGGGGAAGATTATTGGAAAAGTAAACTGTGCCAAATAGCCCAAATTCTGTGCCTTATATGGTATAATGAGTTTTTTCACAGTCCGAAATTACGCGAAAAAGAATTCAAGAGAATATTTTACCTTTTGGGGCATCTTGGCAAAGACACTAGCAATATCTTCCACAACCTCTTCTGGAAAATTATTCACCAAAGTTCCCAGAGTCATGATGATGACTCCATGCTCCCCAGCACTTTGAACAAACTCCTCCAGGTCCGCTGGTAGAGGCTGTGCAGGTTTACACTGGAACCCTCCAATGTAGACAACATTTGGCATTGTTGGCCGAGGAAAATCAAAGACAAAATCTGACCTGAACAGCCAAATATCAGCCTCTTGAAGCAGTGAGACAATGTCGCATCCACCCTCAATGTATTTATCACACATGGCATCATAAATAGGTCCCACCACAAATTTCTGCTGGAATAATATGATACTAAAGAAAAAAATGTTTTGGATTCTCTGGATGAAAGCCATTTTGTCTGTTAGACCGGGTCCTGGAATCACTGGGATATAAGAGAGCGGTGAGGGAGCCAGCACAAAGTGACCTTCTCCACTGGTAATCCAGCGAACATTGAGGACTAATGGCAGTTTAAGATATTTAGCTAACACAACGCCTTGTCCTATTCCTGGATCAGTAAGAACCACATCATACTGGGATTCTATTAAGTTTTTTATCAACTTTGGATTTTCCATGATTCTTGATGCAGCATCACACCACAGGGTGTGGCCCACAGAAACAAAGGACATAAACTTCTTTGTGAGCTTCAGGAAAGCTAACAATGACGACCATTCTCGGTGCACCTGAAATAAAAATGAATAAAACTTTAGTAGCGCAATACAGAGACCCACAGTGGATCGAACACATACATTTATAATCACATACCCACAGTTGGTCTTGTACGAGCTCATCAAAGAAGTCCTTCACATCTCTGTCCATTTCAACTGTGATGGATGTGTAGAGGGGGGATTTTTCTGGGATATACCAGCTGCTGGAACCCCTGATCATACTGATGTCGTGACCCCTGGCATGAAGTTCTTCTAACAGGATCTTCATATTGATCCAGTGGCTGCCATCTTGAGGATACACCAAAATATTCCCTGCATTGCAGTGGAATGTGAAGAAAATCTGAAACAAGCTGAAGACTGCTAAGATTCCACCCACATGATGTGAAGGCATAACTCCTGAAATGCATGAGAAGCATTCCTCTGTGAATTTTCAGGAAAGGAGTAACCAGGAACTGAGATACTTACCAACTTAAAACAAATGTATTACAAACTGAATAGGGTTATTTCATATCTTATTGAAAATGCATAATTTCACACAACTAAAAGAAAGTATTGAGTTCAATCCCTAATACAACACAGTAATGATAGTGACATTTACTCACCCATATTGAAGTAAGCTAATATTAGCCAAACTTGCATGCAGACTGACTGTCCATCTGCTGTAGGAGACCTTTGAGTACAAACACCAGTAAAAGAGATAAAAACCATCACAAGGTAAATGAGTTACAAGTAGTACACACACACTGCAAGAAGCTGCTTTAAATTCTTCAAAATTAAATTAACATACTGTACTAAAGCCAGTTTATTGGTATTGGAAACCAAACCAAAATTTAGTTTTACACCCTAGAATTTAATACTTAAAACTTTACGATATGTTTTTGTGTTCATAATTGGAAACAGAATATAAGGGGGGAAACAAGGACTTTTGGATGGTAGACAATTTGAAAATGTAAACTTACAGCATGCAGTGTTAGATTTATGTTTAAAATTGGTTTTATTATTAAACATCGTGCATTACAAGTCTATAATTTTTTAACAGACAAATAGAAGTAAGTGTCAAAAAGAGCACCTCTCATGTCTACACTTGCTAAAAAAAACAAAAACAAAATTCTCTTTGTGGTTACAGACTAAGTACCCTGTTGTGTGTGTGTGCATTAGGGACTAGAGATGGTGGGGGCACATATGTCATAAAGTTGTTGACATTTCCCTGAAGGTGGAAATGATCATCTCTGCCTGTTGCAGCATGATCCTGCAGCTCACAGATGATGTCCTACAAAATAAATACACAACTCAAAGTGAAAATGATGAAGCTTCTCTCTCATGTCCCGACTTCTTTCAGTATGTGATAGAGAGTTTATTTAGGAAATGTCAAGTTCTTCATTCTTCACTTGCATTAGGATAAAGAATAACTTTGGTGCATACCTGCAAGCTTTGTTGCATTTAATGTAAAAGGCAAGAACCCTTTAATGAAGTAGTGGAGGATCTTTAGCAGGAGGTAGACAAAATCACACTGAAGTAGAATATTTAATGAGAAACAAGGAGAACAGGCTTAACAAAACACTGAAAGTTACACTGCAGAAAACACAGCAGACATGATGGCAATGGGACAAACAAGAGTATAAATATTAAGGATGGTAATGTTAAGTATTAATTTCCCTTTGGGATCAAAAAAGTATTTCTGAATTTGAATTTGTGAAAAAATTGATAGGTTAGAGTAATCATCTGAATGTGAAACAGCTGGGCTCTTACATTTGAGAGAGATCTACCAAGCAAGCACAAAAATAACATTAATAATAGGTAAACAATATTTAAACTAAATATGATGAAACACCAAATTGAAATGAAGTACAAGGTCTAATGTGACAAAGCTGCCCACGGAAAACAGGAATTTAATTAAATTACTGAAATAAAAATGAACATCTTTTCTTATATTCACTAAAATAAAATAATTGTGTAATTTAAAGAAAAAATATTAGTATTTTCCATTGAGCTGTCCTCTATGACTTTGTGCTTTTTTCACTTTAAGTTAAAGGACATTCACTGTTAAAATTGGAACCATTAAACATTTTCCTAACAAATCTCCCAGAAGTAACAGTTTTATTTTTTTTTTAGAGAAAACTGTTTAGATTCATCACTGAAATGATATCAACATGCCAAATATCGAAAACATCCATTATGTAACTCCTACTGAATTTCCAAAATTCTAAATATTGTGCTGTATGATGGTGTGCTGTCAGTAAATGACAGATTCTAGAATGGTGTTACTTCTAAATACAAAGTTTTATTCCAGTCTTTTTACACTGTTGCAACTGACTGTAACTGAAACTACAAGGCTTTTGGGGAGTATTCATATTTCTTTAGTTTATTCACATTAATGTATTTTCCTTACATAGCATAGTTTAATCCTTGGAAAGAGTATGGTACAACTGTAAATTTGTAATATTAAAGTCTCCTTAATCAAACAGGTGGTAGAGTAGAGTATTTATCAGAGAAGTCTCGAAAATATCCATGGTAACTCTGGAGGAGCTTGAAGGATTCGCAGCTCAGCTTGAATCGTTGTCAGTAGGGCAACCTCCCTACAAATCTGACCATGTCAACATGTTAGAATGACCTAGTCAAAGTCTGGACCACAATTATTTAAAAAATATATTGTAAAACCTGAATATTTATCTTTACAGGTATTGTTTATCGTCTATGACAACAGTTGAACTATGTTACCTAAAAGAATGGGCAAAAATAGTGGAGATATAACACATCTTTAGGATGTACACATCTAGTAGAGGCATCCTACAAAAAATGTACAATTGTAATTTCACACAACAAAATAGCGACTTCATTCTGGAGCAATGAAAAGAAATACTCACCACACTTTTCAAATATTAACTTGAAAAAGAAATCACTAATTAAATCCCAATTGAATATATTCAAATTGGTGCTTTGTAAAACATGTAACTTTAAGGGATAGGAATTCTTCCATAGAGCACTGCAGAATATACATTTAAATCATGATTACACTTTACAAAGGCAAATAATTAAATTTGATCAATATTTTAAGTCAATTTTGTTTCAGTTTTCGATTCCGTCTTCTTCTGCAGAACAGAAATCTAATTACAGCAAAAACAGAGTAGAGGACCACA